TTGATACAATAAGTACAATACAATGATCTTGAACGAAGACATACTTTACAAGTGACAAAGTATAATGACCACAGAAAATTTGTCAAGTAATCGCTCACATAAACATATACCTTTCGAGAGGACAAACGGTGTTTACAAGACGCCATGATAAACATGAGTATACTCTCTGTATTGTAGAATATCAGCAAAATAGACAAAACAGTAATGCCACAACAATCATCTACCAAAGTTGAGGTTCATTTCAATGGGAAAGAAAATGTCATACATTCTCCTAAATCACGTCCCATCATTTTTTAAATCATCTCATTTCCCACGTGAAGCACAAGAGGCGTTGACGCTTTTCAATGCATCAAAATTACAAACACAAAAGCTTCGACCCGGAAAAAAGCAACACATATTATATATTTTCACCGGAGGTCTCTAAATTTTGTAGGTCCTTGTAAGTAGTTTGCTTTGTCAAAGAACTTACCTCCAGGTTAAAATGCTTTTCGTATGTTGGGCCCAAAAAGAATTATTAAAAGCTCCTGACGTTAAAGGTAGAGTATATCACTTGCAGCTGTCCAAAAGGTAACTGACGAAATTATTGTTGAAAAGCATACTTGGTTTAAAGATAGTAATGGCACTAAACTCCCTGTCAAATTATTCTTTCTGGCATGCTGTCATGTTGAAGAAAACAATGACAGAAGGTCATTTCCAAAGATGCGTCTAAAGACGCATTTTTGGAAATGTCTTTTAGTAGTTCGTTATTAATGGAGTGTGTGTTAACTACCTGAAACCGCGACTACATCCGCAGAAGATGGCTGCCGCCGAATTTGTCTATATAAAGAACGAAACTATCTTTCAAAAAAATCCATGCATCCTGAAGGTATGGTCTACTTAACCCACTTCGCTTCACTGTGCATGTTTGACTGACCGCATGCACGATCTCATCCATTTCACGAGAAAGCAGCACTCCGGGGACGGAGATAGTGCCACTCTTTCCTCCTACAATAGCAAAGTCGCATTAATGAATTTCGCCTGGAATTGGGGGGGGGGGGTTTCAAGCCTTTTTTCAAACTGATTCATTGTCACGCTGGGGCGGCAAAAAAGAAACACGACGAGGTTCGGGTGAGCAGCTTGCTTCGGCACAAATTAATTGACAACAGAGTCACGTGATACGCCCGATCGGAATAGTGGACTACAGTCGATTCTACATGGGTTTGTCATCAAAATGCAGAGGAAGATTTTCGTGGTTGACAGACTTGAGTACGACATTCTGTAGAAATTGCTTGGCTGGTTTTGATTGCCTCGGAGATAAGAATGTGTGCTTTCGAGAGAAGATGGTATCTTTGATTACTCAATAATAAATAAGAAATGAAGTCAAAGACATAAAGTATGACGATTAGTCTTATTGGGATAATCACTTAACAGTGATAGTTTAATTACTTATTAGTGATAGTTAAGTCAGAATCATTCCCGTGTACAAAAATATCGTTGTCTGGTATACATCAAACCAATACCGCACATTTAAGCAAATGTAAATAATTGCCTTGAAATGTGTTTGTTGTTTTTCAATGGAGTTTTATTGGTGCAGTCCGCTTAATAATTCAAAATTTTACATCAGAATCAGATTGAAGAAAAAAGCCAATTAATTTTAAATTGTGACAACGTGCTGGTATTTTGTATTCCGATAATCCTTAATTGGTTTGCCTCTTTAGTCAAAAATGGTGGTATGAATGGGCTCGGTGCGCTTCTTTTTGTAATGACAAAACAAAACAACATGCTCGTTTTTCAACTCTTGAAATTCTGTAATTGCATTTCGCGCATTTCTGAAAATGTACACAGCGGGTAATTGGCCGATTAACTGTCTCTGTAATGACCAATGGATGACATTGCTGACGTTAATCACTGCCTCGGGCAAGCCTTGTGCAGCTTTACATTTATTATTAAAATGTCGGGCAGTCGCAAATAACAAACGGCGCAATTTGTTACCATTACTCTGAACAAACACACGGTATAGTCTTCTCCTGTCGAGTTTAGCGAGTCAGGTGAGAAAATGGCCATACAATTATTGACACAGACAAGGCAAAAACGCCTTTTGCTATTTTGTCCGGTCTAATAGGAATTGGCATTTGTATTCATTTGTGTTCAAATCCAGACAAACATCAGTAAGCAAATAAAATCGTAACAGATCATCTTCTGGGAATGTAACCATTACAATGTTCCCTCTGTTTTTACCCACTGGAACTTGTTTTCCTAATACATAATAATGTATATTTTGGTTAGTTTTGGGAGGGGGATCTTTTCTGTTTCATCTAATATCGTGAATGTCCCTTGTGCAAAGTACAAATCGCCATAGAAGCGAGATTATTTATTATCGTTAGATTATTTAGTGGCTATGAAAACAGACTGATATTAATCATATAAATGGTTGGAAACGTAGTCTGGCAACCGTCCCATTCAAAAACACTACATGACGCGGCAAAGCCCCAGTGTCGTCCGAGTGCATATATTGAGGCAAAATGCCGAAGTGGCCAATATATTTACTGAGTGTTTGTATACGCTAAGCATTGAAATGTTGAAATGCAAGCCTTGATTCGATAAACACCAACTTTCAGGACCGACAGCAATTAAGCACGACATGATTTCGTTGTTAAAAAATATTCTCAACAGAGATATGGCAAACATGTGACAGAGCACTAACGTGCCAAGGCCCCAGGACCTAAGATCCGTTGGAATTGTCAGAATCTATCGGTCTGGAAACCAGGATACTGGCGATGTACGTGTAGAGATGAATTAAAATTCATAAATCAGATTTTGCAAAATTGGTCGAGACACTGGGCCGTGAAAAACCGTTCTGCCTTTCGGATGCCCATTACAGAGATGACTTAGAAAATTGATAGAAGTCGTCCTGTTATTTTCCATTTATATTCATATGCTTTTAGAGGGGGCCGCATGCCCTTGACACTATCGCATTACAGATATGACTATAAGACAAATGATTTTATAAAAATATTCTTCGTTTTATTATTATGTCCTTCTCTTTTGGTCGTTACAATTGAGCCTTCCTTATCAAATTACAAGGTTACCATTAATATTGATGAGAGCTAATTGGGTCTAATTACATTACTTCGGATAATGGTGCCAACCATTACCCGACTCCGTAGTTTTTTGTTCCTTATATTAGCCTATTTTTATTAATTGCTAACTTGCCTTGCGGTAATAATTAGGCCATGAAAAGAATGGCCTTTTAACAACCACGATTTTTAGATGTGCGCTCACAGAAAAAGAAAGTGCGTCCGTCACTTTTAGGTAGAGAAAAAATATAAATCTCGACCAGAGTCGTTTCAAAGAGCAAATTACGCGCATGGGTAGCTGTGCACAGCATAGGACGGAACTACAAAAAAGACAAAATTCACCAAGAAGATTTTGTTTCATGGTTATACAAAGGAATTGGTAATGGCATCAGCGCGTGTTTGACCTAATTCAGCACTCAAACTGTCATTTCAAGACAAGGTGACTATTACTTCGCGTGCATTAGACTGCATCAATGGGAAGCTTTTACTGGCTTTGTGTCTCCATCCCCCACGTATGTCCGCTTTTTTCGGTAACATTGAGTTTGGAGGTTCAACTAACAAGAAAACCTGACCTTTCCATCGATAATCCTGTCTATCTCTTAATCAAATCTTAGACATGTTGGGATTTTGTTCGAGCAGACAGTCAGGTGGTTTTTGTGATTCCATGTCGCCATTGAATAGAATACAAACTAATGCGTCAAGGAAAATTAGATTTACTGGAAGCACATGAGAGCTTGCAATGTATAGGCCTTTTATTTAGTTTTGTTTTCTTTTTAAAGGATATAAAATTGGACTAGTCTCCCTTTTAAGGGATTTAAAGGCAAACCCCGACATTGAGAAAAAAATGTTTTATTTGGTTTGTGTCATTGCGGTGTTTTTGTGCCACTGACTCAGTGGCCTTGCGGACGGGATTATTTGAGCGAATGTTGTCACGAGCCTTCCACAGAAAGAGGATTGCAAATTTAAAATACATGAAGGTCGTAGAAAAAAAGAAATAATTTTACGGTTTCATTTGCACGAATTAATGCTGGCGCACGAACTGCGTCTGGTAAAATCAATTAATATTATTTTCAAAAAGGTCGCGTGGATTACATTGCTTAGGGCTGGTGACATGTGTAATATAACCTTCTCTTCAAGTTATAATGTTAGGAATATTTTTCAAATGTGTCTATGGCTAAATGGGAAAATTTATTCAAATATTTTATATTGTAACTGCATTTATTATAAAACTTGTTTAATTTTGAGCAGCAAACTTTTCAGCTCCAAAATTGGAATACCAGTTTTATCACTTTTGCTCTTTAAAAACAAAAAAAACAAAGCTGCAACTAAAGTTTGTTGTTCCAACAAAACGTTGTTGTTGCGGGACAATGTAAAATGCAACCGAATGGAAACAAAACGTATCACTTCCATGCAGGGAAAACGTAAATCGGCTTTGAAATACTGACACATACGCAGACATGAAAACACGAGGACACGTTGTGGATGAGAGGTATGCTGTTTCACACGCACCCTGGCTATGTTATTATACCCCAAAAAATTTAAAATCGATATATTTGACTTCCGTCTAGACAACCGTGACTGCATTAATTTAATATATAATGCATTTCAATTTAGCCCACGGTTGGGAATGTGGCACTTCATTCTCAGCTGACGATACCAAGCCGGTATAATCGAGTAATCAAACTGAAGGGAATCGATATGACCGAGAGGTGGTGGCGAGGCCTAGCAAAGACCACTCGGGTTCCGCGAACTACATTCGCCAGAGTAAAATATCTTCCCTGCCACTGGGAAAGACTCTTCAGCAGCGGTGCATCCTTTACTGTGCGCTATTGTTCACTCAGGCGAATTCTGACGTCAGACAGATCGAGCCCTGCAGGCTGAGAATTCCCACAATCCCTCTGTTCATTTTTGTAACAGATAACCACTGCGCAACATCATACGACGATCATTTCAATAGAGCGCGGCGGCCTTTGCTGAGCTGAGGAAACCAAGTTCGCCTGCCATTAGTACCGATACACGGGACATGCTGAAATGAGTCAACCGGAGCCTGAGCCGGTACCAGAACCAGAGCCAACGGGTGCAGCCGAGCCATGGAGTAACTCATCCCTGGGCGATTTTTACCCGGAGTGGGGATGGAATGTAACCGGCGAGGGGGAACCCGAACCGGAGGCTGAGCCCAGCTTCGGGCCGTGTGTTCAGGGGGTGCTGGTGGCGCTGGCCGTGCTGATCATCGTGGTCGGATCTGTTGGCAACTCCCTGGTCATTATTGTAATTGGGAAGATGCGGGCAGGTGAGTTGATAAGACGGACTTAAAGAATGCAGGGGTGTGAAATCTCAGCTTTAAAGCTGATTTCAGCTTTTTTGTTTTGGATTTCAGCTTTTTTTTCCCTCACTTGCTGTGTACAAAAGTATAAGGGATTTCCAAAGTTCAGCTTTTTTACACCTTTTTCATCTGTTTTCAGCTATTTTCATCAGTGGTCACTCACACCCCTCAAATTTGGTAGTTTTGGCCCTCCACCGACGTTACAAGCACTGAATGCACGGTGCGGGTGGTAAGACGGGTGAAACTCGAACCCGCACGACATCTACCCACTTGTGTAGAGGTCTGATCCACTCGACCACCACTTGTGGTTCGATATCTTGATTTTGCGTCGTTGAGATGTGAATTAAATTCTGGGTTTTGCCAACGCTATACAACGCTATACCCAAAAGATTCAACTCTAAACCACATGCTTAAAAAAAGGGTATGCGGTGGATTTTTAGGTTTTGGGTACCAGATTAAAGCTGAGAGATTTTTCTTTCAAATACTGGACAAATCACTTTTGGTTGCTAAGAAAATACTAATTGTGTAAAAGTAGTCATTTTCATCCTTTACACAAGTGTTTTAAACAGTGAAACATTTCACTGTAAGCCTACTGTGCAATTATCGTTCATTTGTGCACTTTCTTGAATATTTTGACATATTTATGATGCCGAAAAGGTTTGCAATAGGACTAAAAATGTGATAACTTTTCAGGCGGAAAATAAAAGGTATTACCATCAAATTAATTTGTACTCTTGTCATAAAATGTGCCGTGTTGTTTGTAAGGATTAGGACATGCACAAAATAGGTACAGTGAAAATCCCTTACCGTGGTATTTTTGTGTGTGTTCAGGAAGAACAATGACTACTTTTACATAAGTGGCATTATGTCAGCAACCTAAAGTGCTATTTTCACGATTTTTAAGTATTTGGAAGAAAGAGCTCTCAGCTCTAACCTAAAACATAAAAATCTACCGATACCTTTTTATAAAGGCAATCGTTTCAGGGTTGCATTTTTGGGTCACCCTGTGTTATGATGAGGGCTACACACTCGCTCCTGTCAGGGAGCTTGCGAGACGTCTACACTAGTGGGTTCAAACCTTGTGAGATTTTCCTTTCGCATGCTCTCTTCCAGTGCTTATAAATCTACGTTGGTGAAGGGCATTCGAGGATGAAATTTTACGCCTGGGTGGCGCGCTTCCGGACCCCTCGAATAGGAAAATTAGCATGTAAAAGTCGGAGTTTCATAAAATTATCTGAGGTACATTGATTCTTTAAGAAAATCAACATCGGAAAATGCCTTTGTTAAATTGTTACAGGAGCATCTCAATTTATGAAAACTGAAAAATCGCATGACGAGAAAGAAAAATGTCGTGCCAAAAACTGACCTCTCACTTCCAAAAAAAATATTAAACACATGTGCACTAGTGAAACTTGGAGCACTCGTACAAAGATGAAAATTGATGAAATAGTTTTGTGGCGGTCATTGGGTAAAAACTGAAACTTAAATAGGAGACTAAAATGTCTTTTTGGAATACACAATTTTTTGAATTAAAACTTGAAGGATTAACTCTCATTTACAAACAAATCTAAAATGACCGTTGAAAAGAACTGTACTCAAGCAAGCCCGACTAAATTTATCCATCGGATGTAGGTAGGTAAATCTTCGCGTCGTTATCATTTCGTTCATCTCACGCAAGTATAGGCGAAAACAAACGTGATCGAACAAGGGGACCTAGGTACGAAAATCCGCTCGTGCGAAGTCGTAAGTCAAATTGGTTGTTACCATGTCCAACTGATTTCCCATCATTTTTTTCTTGTGGAATGCCTAAAATTCCAACATGATTGTTTCTTGGGCTGAACGGTTAGAAATCATTCTGTTTAAAACTATAGCAAGGGAAAGGGCAACCTCTTGTAAATTGCCCAATAAAGGGTCGCGGAGGGGTCCAGAAGCTCACAGACAAAATGGCGCTCTTTCAGGCTCTATTCACACTATTGATTGAACGTCTCCCCCACGGAAAAATTCCATCATAAAATGGTCGATTGGTTGTTTTAAAGATATTTTGCAAATATGAATCAAACTGTTTTACCATACATCAAGTAGGATATTTCATTTATCAGCAATGCGGTCATTTATAACCAGTAATGAGGATGATCATTCATTCGCACACAAAAGTCATGAAAGTCTGCAATGAATAAATGCCTATTTCGAATTGTTATCCTCAATAATTCCAAGGCCATTCATTTTTATGAACAAGCGATTTCAAAAGTAGTTGGTCAGAATGATATCAATCAGCCAGCTTCTTGTGTACATTAATTCCCTAGGTTATCATTTGGGTTATGCCGATAACCAACGAGATCGATTAAGAAATTTCTCTTGGGGAAATGAACGCCGTAAAATAATTACTCCCGTCGGGATTTGTACATGCCGCTGCTTCGACTATAAGAACCAGCAACGAACATATCGCTTTCGTACTTGATGCAACGCTTCAGTTGCTGAATCTGTATAAAAAATTCATTGCGTCTTTGCACGAGCGAAGAGCCATGTGCACGGTTCCAGTTTTCCTTAAGCTTCATGTATGTATCCATTTTTAAAGGTTTATCTTATGTTTAATTGATACAATTGGGCAGGTGTTCAGCTTATGAGGCCAGCGTGGACTCAACGAAAGCTCATTGTTAAACAGAGAGCTAGCTCATACCAATCGGTCGTGAATGCAATGTAATATCAACAACAAAAATTCGATATTAAATATATTGAATTTAATGTCAATCACAAGTTACCGACAGCAGAGAAGTACAGGTACCCTCATAAGTAAGCCCCAGTTAACTATTCGAACAAATCAATTAACTCCGATTGCATTTTATAAAATAAAAAATTGACAATTTGCAGTTACTATTTTCGAATAAAAAAACCTCCATTATGTTTCAGTTTTGTTAATATCTAAATTAGATTTCAACCAAAACGAGCTTCGCACGAAAGCCTCACATTCTGTCAGACCTAAGGGTATGTGATAGGCGTCGGTGACCTCTTTAAAGCTTTTTTTCATACGTAATACTAAACAATTTGATAAAGCCTTTAAGCTCATTATTTCTACAACGTCTTGCTAGAATAGAATCCAAGACAAATAATTGAATGGAGTCATTGATGGCGAATTAATTTCGCATAAACCAGGTAGAGGCGACGTTGTGTGGACTTGGGCAAGTCCACACAGTGTTTCCCCATTTCTGGAAAACAGTTTTATAGAGGCATTTTGGGGTTGGGTTTATCTGTGGCAAAATGAAGAGAAACACTAAAGGGATCATAAAAAAAAATGGGTTGAAAGAGTTTCAACAGTTTGAGAAATTGAGTTTTTTCACTGGTTTTTCTTAACTACACGAAACCAAGGGAATGTCCACACTTGGTATGTAACGTAAACATGTGTGTACATACACATGTTTCCTTATGGGACCGTGAGCACAATAGGGACAATAAACCCAACTAGTCAGTCTTTGGAAAACTATCTGACCCATAAGGAAAACGCTACAGAGTTTCACATTTCAATAGAAACAAAGGATAAGGGAAACAAAGGTCTTCCCCACATCTCGCATAGGCCTACGCAGGCAGGGTCGGAAACATTGTTATAGGCGTACGTATATGAGGTTAGTCCTTGTTCAAAATCAGAAATGGTGAGCTATGTGTTACTGCGGCAGACAGGCGATTGGCACCAACTAGGAGTACTCGCTTACATTCAGCAAGATACAAGCATCTCAACTCAAGAACCGAGATATACAAGAACTTAATTTTCCGACTGGAATGCCCTGCCCTGTCATCAAAGCATCCATCCTTCAAAGAAAGACTGAAAAGGCACATGAGCCGGCACGTCTAAGAACTGATCCTAACCCTCATTGGCGTGATACTCCAGAGGAGGCGTTGCCAATTATTTATCCAGATCCAGATCCAGATCCTCTCAAATTTACCGAATCTGGTAAAACAGAGAGAATATAATTCAAAATTATCCAAAGTGGATGACATCCAAGGCCTTGGATGTCATCCACTTTATTGGATAGTTTTGAATTATTTTAATTAAGGAACCAACAAATGGGATCCGGATGATCACGGAGAGAAACACACTTCATAAAATATAATAAGTGACACACTCTTTTTTTTAACTTAGTTATACCTTTGATGTATTTTTCGTGCATCTTCACTTTACTAAAAAATAATAACTTCAATAATATTTTTATTGTGTTTCACGAGCGACCAGGGCAATGTTAGGTCTGAGAAAAGGTCAATAAAGAGTCGCATTCGTTGTCTTGTCAATCACAAAAATAATCAGGCAATACGAGCGATGTTTGAGGAGTAATATGTAAGTATTGCTGTTTACATGATCGAAGGCGCACGATATGTTAACTGAAAATTCGATTGTCAGCGTTAGAAAATTCTGACCTCTGGCAACGGCACCTTTGCGAATAGACCCTATAGACATTATCCTTGGGACATCATTCAACGCAAAGGGCGCGTTTTGTGGCAAAGACATGTCGGTGAAAGGCTTACTCCATTTTTATGCTCAGATCATGTTCAATTATTCGCTTTTGGGCTATTTGTTTTGTGTGTTTTTTTCTTTTGTTTTTCTTTTCCGTTTTTTTTTTTTTTTGAGGGGGAGGACGGGCAATTGTGGGGTGAATGACGCCATTATCAATGAACTACCTGGTTGCACACCTTCCATGCCAATAATGTATGAGTATTAAGGACTCTCTCTCCAGCCTATTGTAAACACAACTGGTTCTGGCCATGACAAAGAAATCAACCTTGGGGGCTATTATTAGTAAATGGCAACTTCAAGGGCGCGGCAGTGTTAATTTATGGATTACTTACAGACGCAAGGCTTTGATACAGAAGCTCACGGTGCGAGGTTATAATAATAATCATCAAGACGTGTAATTCAACTTTTATTGCAGAAATGCATTGTCGCGTAACGTTGAGGGTTAGAATTTGAATACTTTATGAAA